AATCATTGCTGGCAGTATCATGGCCAAATTCCTTGCTATGGCTTCTAATTTTGCCCCTACCTTCTCTCCAGCCACATTTTCCATAGGTCTACACCACACAACCTTGCAGAGGTGCTTACATTTTACAGGGTTTTGGTGATTTAAGACACCATGGACCCCCGGCACATGTGGGTTTGACCCACACCCTGCAGCAGAAGGCAGTGGTAAATCACTGCTGCTTTTTTCCCTCAATCTTACCTTTCTTACCTAAAAACCCTATAGTGAGACAGCTCACTCCTTCACAGGATCGCCAGGAGTTAGAGCCCATTTGATGGCATGTAATAATATCACCATACAACCTGTGCTTCAGAAATGTTAAGCAACTTAAGAGTTCTCATTTGTCTTACTTTCTCACACTTTTATATCCTTGCACATGCTGGACCCTCTGCCTAAAACACCCTTCCTCTTACTTGCTTTGCACATCCTTCAGATCTTACCTTTCAAAGCATCACACCTTTCCTCTTTCCTTCTCAAGTTGAGTTATACTACACTCATGTAACATACCTGTATCATAGCACTTAACACAGTGTTTCATCATTGTTTTCCTTACTAGATTGTATTCCTTCAGGACATAGGCTGTCACGTTCATTTCTGTTCTTCCAGTGTCTGGCACATAGTAGATATATAGTAAATATACAATCAAATCTTTTCTTGCCTCTTGGGAACATTGAGCATGCTAGACTTAGAGATTTGCTGTAGTGGTACTCTTCCTGTATTCTGGGAGTTTTCACATGGTTTTAGGTCTAGAGTACTTATTTTTACAAAACAATCATTTTTGACTTATTAAAGGGACAAAAAGAGGTACCCTAGCTATACACCCCCAGCTATACACCATGCTCTTGCCACTCCCCAAGTATTTGATCTGTGTAAGTTTATTTCCTCCCAGGACTTCAGTTTCCCTGTCCATAATATCTCTACCTAATATACACAGTAGTCTTCTCTAGTAAATCTTATACAGGCACCATGTCCTTTGAGTAAAGTACCCCTTTTCATTTCTGTTTAAGAATCCAATTGTATTGGGGCTGGAGGTGGGGCTTAGTTTTCATGGTTCCGTATAACCAGGTCCCTCCTTAGTCCTTGACTTTTAAATCTCTTGTTTGCAATGCACTTATTCAAATTTTTAAACCCTAATCTAAGCCCAGCATTCTTGATGAAGATCATTATTTTATTCCATCTCACAGTAGGGAAATTGAGTGGTAAACAAAAATATCTTCCAAGAGGAAGGTTAGTAAGGAAAATATGCTTGAATAATTAACTTCATGGAAAATTTAGTGGGAATATTATTGTTTCATACTAAGGCATACTAAATGGATGGTTTCATTATGTGTAGTGAAGCTTACTAATATTATTAGTTTTAACTAATAATAAATGAAGCATGATTATTCACTATTTATGAAATGAAACCAACCAACATATAAGCAACAGTTGTATTTCCCCATTATTTCTATTTTTACTTCATGAGTAAAATAAATGTAAATTAGTTTAAATTATTAGTTAAGTCATTATTACTATAATCTATGAATTTCTATAAAAAACATGGTTTTGAAATAATATTTAGGCTAACTAAACCCTCCTCATTAGCTTAACTCTTCCTCATTTTTTTCCAATTGCATGTTTGCCAGACATCTTCAGAACAGAATCCACACCCAGTGTGGCTGGAGTGGAGAGTGGTAGGAAGAGAGGTCAGAGAGGTCCCTGAGGCCAGGATTGCACAGGGCCTTGCTGACCTGCCAGCAGTTTTGGACTTTAATCTGTATTCAATATGTCTGCACCTTGGGGAGCATAAACCTTTTCATTTATGCTAGGATACGTTTATTCTTTCAGGAAATAGGTGTAATGGAACAGAGAATTTAAGTAAAATTTTAATATATTCCCCCAAAGTACCTAATCTAATAATCACAGAACAATAATATTTATTCTAATACAATTATAGTTTCCTCAGACCTATTTGTATACCATTAAGGAAAAGCATCATATTAGAAGCTATTCATTTAAATCCAAATTATTCTAAAATCAAAATTTGTAAGCTCTATTTTCTTTTACTTATTCTCCCCTTTGTTTGGAGTGACAGTTGACTGACTGTTGTATTATTTCATTTGCATTTTATGTTGCCATCATTTCCATTAAGGGCATTATGTTGGGAAATTCAGCTTTAGAATTGTGATTTAATTGGAGACAGACCTTAATATAGAACAAAGAATGAATTTCCTCACTAGAGTTGCTGACTTGAGACAGTGCAGAAACCATAAAAAAACCTTCTGGGGGTTCTGCATTTAGTGTGTGTAATAAACAGAAATGATGCCATAGTGGAGGTAAGAGAATAAAGATCAATACCAGCTTCTACGGAATGGAGAGTGCTGTTTCAGAGTATAAATCCTTAAATGTTGCAGAACCTAAATTTTCATTGGAAAAGTCTCTGAATAAATGTCTGAAGTTAATTTTTATAAAAGTAACCCAAGTGGTAATAGGAATTCAAGAAATACTGAAATTGACAAGTTATGTAAATGGTAAAAGTTGAATAGTTGTCTCAGAATTTCCCTATTCCATAATTCTACTTGAGTCTATAGTAGTCTAGATAAACAAAACTAAAGAGATTTTTAAGAGATTTAAAGAGATTTTTAAATGTAAGTAATTATTAGGTATGAGTTATAAGAAACACACCAGACTTTGATGTGGAGTCTGTAGTTCTATTTGGTTCTGTGGTAAGTTAAAATACTGAAGTTCATTTTGAACTATGTTGTGTTTGCTCTGTGAAATTATATTCCTATTGTTTCCTTTTTTTTTTTTTAATAGCATCTTCCTTACGGGCAGTTACAGTGTGTGTTCAGAAGGGAAGTACAGACATAAGTATCATCCCAAAGCCGAATTCCTCCTAATATTTTAGTTTCTGGGTTATTCCAATGTGTTTAGTTTTGAAAATAAAGGAGGAAGAGGAAGTTGACCATTATTCTTCCTAGTTCTGTTGCTTGTTGGCCCTCATTACGAAAACAGTGTTACTACTCATAGATGTTCTCAAACTAGCATTTGTTGTATGAATAAGTCACCTGATCACATGAGGTTTTACTTTGCACTAATATTTTATATCGTTGATGAGTAATTTAATGAAGAATGATACAAATTGAGATCAATCTGTGAATAGTTCAGTAATGAATAAAAATCTTAGAAATAGTATTAACACAAGTGAATTTCAAAACCAAATATCTTTAAGAGCCATGTTTATGAATTGGAAGATCAGTGGATTCATTTTCATTCTACCTTTGTCAAGGTAGAATGCCTTGATTTATACATGCTTAGAGTAGTAACATTAAGAAATTAGAACAATTGGTTTCTATATTGATAAGCTGTTATCCTTTGTAGTTATTAAGCATAATAAAATTATTTCCCTTCAGTGATTAAAATGAGATATGGTCTGATTTTTAACATTGTTAGAACTAATTTCAGTTTGATGTTTTCAACATTATTTGACCCTTTCTGCAAATTTTTATATAGCAAAATAAAGTTTAAATTTTAACTTCATGACATCTCATCAGCTAATTAGCGTTCCATAACCACATTTAAGGATCACAGAGGTAATTTTGTTGATTGCTTCTTTGGAGGTGTAAGATAGTACAAATTCTTATCTGAGATTAAGAATATTTTTAATTTCTGAAGAATTTTTAAAACCATTTGACAGGTTGTATCCCAAATATTCCCTAGATCCAGTAGAGCAAAATGTGTGTTTCAGAAATGTGAGTCAAGAGTACAGAATGTACAATGATGGTATTCATTGTGTCCCCAGGAAAGTTTATATGTATTACTCCAAGTTGAAGGAAAAAGATTTGTCGTCAGATGAATTTTGAATATATAGAGTATGTTGTTTTAAACAAAACTAAGCTTTATTGAAGAGTTTTCTGAGCTTTAATATTGAAATATTTTTTAATTAGATTAATTTTACTTTAAGGACTTTATGTGTCTGGTCAGTCATTGATTTTATTTTGCTTTGTGTAAACTTTTTCTCTCTCCTCAAAATAATATGCAAGTTCCATGTCAGATACCACATTATTTTCTTCTTTTAGAGATTTTATTTATTTATTAGAAAGGGGGAGAGAGGGAGAAATGAGGGAAGGGAAACATCGATCAGTTGCCTCTTGCATGCCCCTCAACCAGGGAACCTGGCCCACAACCCAAACCCTGACCCGGAAATGAACTGGCAACCTTTTGGTTCGCAGGCTAAGCACTCAACCCACTGAGCAACACCAGCCAGGGCTGTCACATTGTTTTATCCATGGGAAGAAGCAAAATACCTTTTTGTTCAAGAGACTATATACTTAGAAAGTCACTACATGTGGGAAATTTTGCATGCTAACTTAATTCTACTTTTCTATTTCAATTCTAGTCCCTTGGATTTTGCAGGAACAATTGGGGAAATAAGGTAAAAGATAGATGGGGTAGAAAGTGAGACTAAGATAGGAGGAACTAATTCAACAAACTAAATTAGATTAAAATTTTTGTTTTGTCTTTTCTCTGAAATGCTTGTTGGACTAAGTTTTTGCAAGATAAATACTTACTTGTATTTAAACAAATTTTTACAAAAAAAGTAACTTGCTGCACTAAAGTCTTCTGGAACTGTTTCTCTGTGGCATTTGGGGTGTTTTACAATCTATTAGTGGAGAGAACTGTTCTCTCATATCCTCTAATTAATGGGAATAATCTGCAATTTTTAGATTATTTCTACTTGTGATTCTGGTCATAACCTAATACAGTTCACTCTTTCACAGTTTTCTAAAAATCTGACACTTAATTGTTCATTTCTTCTCACTCGTTAACCCTGACTCCAGAATGACTTCTAATTTTCTTTTATAATATAAACTCTGTAGTTTTGAAGATTTGACTCCAGAGAGTTGTATTATGTATCAGAACATACACCGCATACTTTCTCAAGATTAACCTGTAACTGTCTATTCTACACAAATGTGTTTCAGATGGAGCAGCTATCAGATGAAGAGATCGACCATGGTGCCGAAGAAGACAGTGACAAAGAAGACCAAGACCTGGACAAAATGTTTGGAGCCTGGCTGGGGGAGCTAGACAAACTCACTCAGGTTAGAAATGGTGCTTGAAAAACTGGTTGAGAATTCTAAGTTATCACCGTGTGCTAGAAGTTTATGGTGTATTCAGAAGGATATGGATATAGGTTACATTTTTAAATACTTCTGTAAAGGGAAAAATGTCCAAAGCATTAAAAAGTAAATGAATAGTGCTATAGGACAAGATATTCTCTGGTTATTTGAAGGAGTTAAAAAAAAATACTTGTGACAGAGGTTCTGTTCATCTACAGGGATTAATTAAAATCTGTTTCATAAATTGAGATTGCTGGCTAAAATGTTTTAAAGCCTAAAATTTTAAAGTCTAAATTTTAGCAAATCCTATTTCACAACTTAATTTGAAAACATTTCACAACATAAATAATATCTTTATATGCAAATATGTTCTATTACATGATTCTAGTATGCTGACAAAATTCCATTCCCAGCTGCATTTTAAAGCAGTGGCAAAGCTTTCTCATTTGGTTTTATTGTATCTTGGGGCTTGCTTGTTTGTTTTTAAAGAGCAATCTTACCTCTAAACTGAGTCACTTTTAGAATAAAGGGTACATTGTTACTATCCCAGTTAATACATTATGTTTAGTACATGAAAATGGTTATATTTATTAAAACAACTTTAACTTTATGGCAGTGAGAATGGTAGAACAAAAATTATTTCCATTCATTAATATCTCTGTGAACAACTTTGGTGTAAAATTGCTTAAATATGCCATTCCTTAATTAGTAGAAAAGATGGTAAGGTATAAACTTAAAGTACTGGTTTGTTTCTTCCTATAACTGTCTGTAATTAGCTGATACACTCTTCACATAATTCTTAGATCATTTTGAAAAGCAGACATGTTTCTGGTCATAATCTGTTATTGCTGAATTTTGAGGAGAATGCTTTCAATTCCACTAAAATCTCATAAGAATCATTCCCTTCATCTCTAATCAGGAGAAATAACATTACTTATTGAGAGAAAGGTCTTATATTTGTAATTGTGAAACCGTATCAGTTTAATTCTTAATTCTTTACAAAAGATTATTTTGGCCTAGAGATGATGACTAGGATATGCAATTCTGTGCTGAGGAGAAAAAGGAAAGAGGAAGTAAAATAGAGGAAATAGAAAATAACACATGAAGGAATGTATGTGAGGGTCAGCTGGCATGTGTGGGGTTTCCTGGGCTGCATGGTTTAAATGGTCATACCTGGGAAGGGGGCCAAGAAGAGAAAAGACAGGTAAGTATCACTCTAGCCGCTCTAGGTGTAGTACTCCATGCTGCTCCACTGCAGATGGCATTTCTGCTGGTCCAGTACCTTTTTTTCTTCTTCATATTTTAAATCCCCTGACGTCTAAATATGAAGAGCGACTCACCAAAAAAGCTAGCTCCTAAACTAATGCTACAACTGTTCTCTTTATTATACAAATCTGTCTTTAGAGAGAGGATTTTTAAAAACTGTATAATGTGGCTCACTGCTGACAAATTGCTTTTTAACACTTGGGGAATTTTCAAAAATTTTACTAAGTTAGTGATTTAAAACCTCAAGTTTTTGTTTATTTAGTTCACTAAAAAGTGTCATCTGTGCACCTGTATCACACATGGAATGTTAATAGATTTTTACTTTTATATTAAATCAGGTTTAAGTTTTAAGTGGTTGGTGACTCTCCTAAAATTATGTGTAAAAATGAGTGTGTATTTGCATTCTTTTCTGGAAGGTGCATAGCTTTTTTCAAATTCTCAGTGAAATCCCAATCCCCACCTTCCAAAAGATTAAAAACCATCCTACTAGGTTACCAATTTCTTTGTATCAAGAAGTGTTTCTTGTTCTTTCCCTTGTTGTCCCAGCACCATAAACATAGCAAATAATTGTAAGTATCTGGTAAGTAGACTGACTTTTAATATGTCCTCAATTATATTCAAGTAACTTTACAGAAAACATCATCTACCTATTAGTCTTTATTTCCACTGAGAAAAGGAGGTTATTAAATTGCAGCAAAAGACTTAGGTTTGAGGTTAAAGGAGAATTTCCTGACTGCTTTGTGAAATTTTGAACTAAGGCACTAAAATGGTCATAAATCTCCTTCATATGATAGCTTTAAAAACTGGACGGACACTTGCTGAATAGATTTGTTTTATCTTGAGATAAATAAATAAAGATGATAGCAGTCTAATTCCTCGATTCTACTACCTAGCATTCTTTTTTATTTGAACTCTATTTGATAATTATAGATTAAAATTAGTTTTGAAAGACTAATTTCAATATTTGAAAATTATTTAAATAAAAGCTAAATAACTAATGGTCCTTACCCTGAATTTGTCTGTTGTCCTTACCCTGAATTTGTCTGTTACATTGTACTGTCCTTATTTTAGAAAAAGTGTCATTTTAAAACATGGTGAGATAACCTACTAGATACCCTACCCTGAAGTGCAATGTAATTCCAGACTTAGCACAAACAGTATAGCTGGGTTACAGTGTGCCCTCATAGAACTTGAAAAGAACACTGATATTCCATTATTGTTTAAAATTGTAGCCACTCCATTAAGATCTTGGGTCTCACTACTTTTGAGTCCAGAACTGTACCTTATTTCAGGGTACTTCATGCCAAGAATGATGCTGTGCTGGACCAAAAACAAACTGCTTTGAGGAAAGAGATCACAGAATTATTTGCACCTTTCTTCCTATTTATCTTACCATGCTCATATTTATATACCTAGTTTATTTTTTAGTAAATTGATGTAAAATGAATTGTGCCTATATTTGATGTACTTGGAAAGATATTTACTTTAACTATGACAGTCTCAAGTGCCTTAGTAAGATTATTATTAAAAAGTAAAAATATACTATCACCAAAATAATGTGAAAACCAATTATACTTAAGGCTGTTACCTAGAAAAACTAAGGTTTTATTGGCTATTCTATAACAATTAATCATAAAACAAACTAACTTTTTATATAATTGAGGCATGAATGAATAATGACTTACAAAACTTTCTTCTTTTAAAGAGTTTGGATTCTGACAAGCCCGTGGAACCAGTAAAAAGATCTCCTCTTCGCCAGGAAACAAACATGGCCAATTTTTCTTACCGCTTCTCCATATACAACTTGAATGGTAAGATGTAATTGGAAATAAAATGTAAAATTGTATACTAAGTTATATAATGTAGAATAAGTGCAGCTACAATTCCAAATATTTCAATATAAAAATGATATACATAACTGAGTTCTTATATTTATTTATGTATTTTTTTTACTAATACAAATGATCACAGAAAAAAACAAACTGGAACATAGCCAAAATAGTGTTCTAGTTGAGTTATTAGTAATTGACAAAGCATATACTCAGGTGGAACCCCACAAAAAGTAATAAAGTCCAGTGACAGTTACTTGTTAGTAATTTTGTAATCAGCCCATCTGGCCTTTATCAATGTCCTCTATCTAGTTAACTTTATAGTATTTGAAACTGATATTCCAATCTGTAATTTTTTTAGGCTTTACATTTCTCTTTATGCCCTCAACTCTAGGTAACATCTCTACCAGGGCACTGATCATATTAACAACTTAGACCCTCTGGTGGAGACTAAGGGGTTTGGCTTTGAATTACCCTCTGGTAAAAAATTGCATTGGGGATGTGGTTAAAACTAGGGACAGTGTACAATTTTTCTAGTATTTTTCTCTTCTGATTACTATAAATCTTAAAAGAAAGGAGTGTTTGTTCTAAGATTTCTCTTGGAATATAAAACAAACAAAAACTTAGAATATTATACCTGAGAAGCTTTAGGCCCAATAGGATGACTGTTTTTGTTTCTTCCCCTGAATTCATTAACTGATTTATAATAGAAGGTATACATTCTGGTTCAGTTGTTATGGAAACATCATCTATGTTGTTCATTGCAGAAGCTCTGAATCAGGGAGAAACTGTGGATCTGGATGCCCTAATGGCCGATCTTTGCTCTATAGAGCAGGAGCTCAGCAGTATCGGTGCAGGAAATAGTAAGCGTCAAATCACAGAAGCAAAAGCCACTCAGAAAGTACCTCCTAGCCGACATATATCAAAACATGGCACCTTGAAAGGACTGTCTTCATCTAATAGGATAACAAAACCATCACACGCCAACTACTCCCTGGATGACATTACTGCACAGTTAGAGCAGGCCTCCTTGAGCATGGATGAGGCTGCTCAGCAATCTGTACTAGAAGATACTAAGCCCTCAGTAACTAATCAGCACAGAAGAACAGCATCGGCAGGCACAGTGAGTGATGCTGAAGTACACTCTATTAGTAACTCCTCTCGCTCCAGTGTCACTTCTGCAGCTTCCAGCATGGACTCTTTGGATATTGATAAAGTAACACGCCCTCAAGAACTGGATTTGACACATCAGGGGCAGCCAATTACTGAGGTAAGTACATTGATTTTTTTCCTGGTATTTTAGTATTAAAATAGGAAATGATATTTTTTAAATGTAGTTTTAAATAACTTTATTTTTTTTTCTGCATTTAAAATTTATCAAGGATACCTCTGAGCAAAGTTTGAAAATCACCACAAAAATAATATATTACCAGCTATGGCAGTGTCACAAGGATGATTAAGAAAAGATTCAGGCTGCCCCAGTGGCACAGAAGAGCTGTGCAGGGCTGGGACTTTCAGCCCATCCTGCTGGGTTTGGAGCGTATGTGTGGAGCTGAGACTTTTGGCCCTGCCCTGCTGCAACCAGCTGCCCAGAGCTAGGATTTTTGGACTGTGTCCCCAGGGAGGCTTCGGTCTGCCAGCCAGATGAACAAGTGCTGTGCTGTGTGGCTACACTGTGGGGATGCAAATCCAAACTCCCTTGCGAGTTCAGTCCACACTACCCTGTGAAGGAAAAGAAGTGCCCATTTCCTCCTACAGACTCATGGGTACCACCCCAGTGGGAGATTGTTTTGATCAGCCTTGCCAAGTCCCAGATACCCCTGCTGGGTGCAATTCCAAGGGTAAGAAGGGAGAGCAGCTCAGAGCAGGGACATTCAGAGTGTGAGACTCTCAGGCTATTGTTTGGGACTGGGACGAAGTGCTTAGCGTCCTGTGGGTTGGGTTGGCATCATCCCCAATGGGAGACTCTTTTGATCTATGCCCCTGAGCCCAGGGTGGCTGAGCTTGCTCTTGCATAGGGGATAGCTGCCTGTACTGACCCTGAATCTGCAGCAAGCCCCCTAGGGGGACTAGAGGGGGGAACTTCTAGGGGGAACTAGAGTTGGAGACTCTGGGGAGACTAAGGGGTTTGGCTTTGAAGCAGGGGCTACTTTCCCTTAATTGAGTGCCTGGCTGCTGGATCCCAAAGTAGGGACCCCACAAGCCCAATCTTGGCTATTCTGGGCTCATCCTACAGTGTCTCTTAGGGAGGCTCTGGAGAAAGACCAGACAGCCTCAGAAGAAGGCAGAGTAGATGAAAGGTGAAGGCAGACCTCAGGGCACCTTGGTCCTTTTACGGAGCTTCCCCCAGCTATAAATAGGGAGGAGCTGATTCTTTTACACAGATTGGCCCCTCACGTGCACATCCATGTCCTGGAGACACAGACACAAACAGTGAACAGCGTGATAGCTACACATAGGTAGCCCAAGGCCAGTTACGTACAACATATGACAACATGTATCTGCACTCCACCCAGGTGGACCCAAACCAACAAAACCAGTGGTGGGGCTTCAGACCACAGCAGAGCTCGACCTAACTAGCCACACTACTGGCCCACCCAAAGGAGGACTCCTGCAGGCACCAGACCCAGCCAGGAACAACACTGCCTCAAGGGGCAGCCCTTGTACAGCCTCTCACACATGGTAGTCAAGATTTAACATTACAGTTCCCCAGCCTGAAGGGTTAAATCGATCTACAAAAGAGCCAACAGCATTCAAGACTCAACTACAACAGGGGTGCACGTAACCCACAAGAAGTACTCCTGCAGCATGGAGCTCAGGTGATTTGGAAGATTGTACCTCTGAGCCCAAAAAGACACCTTCAGCATAAAATTATGAAAACAAGTTTGGGAGACACAGTACATCTACCTAACACAGAGACCAAATGGGGAGGCAGTGAAAAATGTCCCAAACAAAAAAACCCAAGAGATATCCTCAGAAAAAGAATTAAAAGAAATGGATGAAGTGGAAACAACCCAAACACTAGATGCAGAGTTTAAAGTTAATGGTTGTAAAGCTGCTCAAGGATCTTAGGGGAAAAATAGATGATCTCAGTGAGAACTTAAACAAAGAGATAGCTTTAAAAAGGACATAGAACCCACCCTGTCTGAGTGGCTCAGTTTGTTGGAGTGTCGTGCTTACACCAAGACATTGCAGGTTTGATCCCCAGTTGGGGTGTGTACAGGAGGCAACTGATTGATATTATTTCCTCACATCAGTGTTTCTCTCTTTTGCCCACTTCCTCTCTCAAAAATAAATAAAAACATATCCTTGGGTGAGGATTTAAAAAAGAAAGGCCATAAAAACCATAAAAAAGAACCAGTCAGAAAAATCAAGAATACAATATCTGAAATGAAGAATACACTGAAAGGAATTTATGGCAGGTTATGTGAAGCTGAGAGTCCAATCAGTGAATTAGAGGACAAAGTAACAGTAAGTAACCAAGTAGAGCATCAAAAAGAAAAGAGGATCAAGAGAAATGAGGAAAGTCTAAGGATTTCTGGGACAGTGTCAAACATAACATCTGCATCATTGGGGTACCAGAAAGAGAAGGCAGTGAGCAAGGGATAGAGAATCTGTTTGAGGAAATAATGACTGGAAACTTCCCTAACCTGGTGAAGGATAAAGTTACAAAGTGCAGGAAGCACACAGAGTCCAAATTAAGTATGAACCCAAAGAAATCCACAGCAAGACACATTACAATTAAAATGGCAAAGGTTAAAGTCAGTTTTAAATGCAGCAGAAGAGACAGTTACCTAAGAGAGCTCTCATAAGGCAGTCAGCTGATTTCTCAACAGAAACACTTCAGGCCAGAAGAGGTTGGCATGAAGTATTCAAAGAGATGAAAAAACCAAAGAACTGCAACCAAGACTACTCTATCCAGCAAGGCTATCATTTAAAACTGAAGGTGAAATAGCTTCCCAGACCCCAGCCCCACCAAAAACAACAACAACAACAACAACAAACAGCTAAAGGACTTTATTGCCACCAAACCAGAAAAAAAATGGCAATAAATAAGTATCAGTAATAACCTTAAATGTAAATGGATTAATGCTCCAATCAAAAGATACAGGATAGCTGAATGGATAAGAAAACATGACCCACATATATATGCTGTCTACAAGAGACCCACCTCAGAACATAAGATTCACACAGGCTGAAAGTGAAGGAATGGAAAAAATATTCCATGCAAATGGAAACTAAAAAACAAGCTGGCATGGCAATACTTATATTTGACAAAATAGACTTTAAAACAATGGCTGTAACAAGAGACGAGGGTCACTACATATATTAAAGGGATCGATCCAACAAGAAGATATAATCCTTTTCAACGTACATGCACCCTATGTAGGAGCACATAAATACATAAAATCTTGGTGGACTTTAAGGGAGAGATTGATAGCAATGCAATCATAATAGGGGATTTTAACACCCCACTATCATCAATGGATAGATTTTCCAGACAAAAAAATCAACAAGGACACAGTGAACTTAAACAACACAATAGAGCAGATGGGTTTGTAAAAAAAAGTAGATTCATTGATTTGTATAGGAATAGGAAAGGAGAGAGAAACATTCATCAGCCACTTCCCATACACACTCCTTACCGAGATTGAACCCACAACCTAGGCATGTTCTTTGAATGGGAATCAAACCTCCAGCCTCTTGGTGAACAAGATGATGCTGCAACCAAACACCAGCCAGCCAGTAGGGCTAATTAAATCAGATGGATTTAATTAATATTTATAGAACATTTCTTCTCAAAACAGTAGAATATACATTCTTCTCAACTGCACATGGAACTTTTCAAAGATAGACCACATTTTAGGATACAAAGAAGTCTTAACAAATTCAAGATTAAAATCATATCCAGCATCTTCTTGGATCATGATAGCATGAAACTACAAGTCAACAATAATAAAAACTCAAAAATGATCAAACAGATGAAGGCTAAATAGCATGTAATTAAACAATAATGGATTATCAGTGAGATCAAGGAAGAGATGAAAAAGTACCTGGAAACATGAAAATGAACACACAGGTATACCTCAAGAAGCAGAAAAATATCAAACAAACAATCTAACACTACACCTAAAGAACAAAGAACAACAAATAAAGCCCAGAGTAGGTAGAAGGATGGAAATAAATGACATAGAGACTAAAAACACAATACCAAAAAAATCAATGAAACAAAGAGCTGGTTCTTTGGAAAGATAAACAAGATTGATGAACCTTTAACCAGACTCATGAAGTAAAAAAGAGAGAAAGGACCCAAATAAACAAAATCAGAAATAAATGAGGAATAGTAACAACTGATATCACAGAAATACAAAGCAAAGAATTATAAGAAAATAATACAAACAACTATATGCCAACAAATTGGACAACCTGGGCAAAATAGATACATTTCTAGAAACATACAAACTTCCAAAACTATCAGGAAGAATCAGACCTGAATAGACTGATTACAGCTAATGAAATTGAAGCAGTAATCAAAACACTTTCAGCAAACAAAACTCTTAAATCAGATGACTTCACAGGAGAATTTTACCATATATTCACATAAGAACTGTGCTTACCCTTCTCAGGTTATTCCAGAAAATACAAGAGAAGGGAAGACTTCCATTCTCTTTTAAAAGGCTAGCATTATCCTAATTCCAAAAGCATAAAAGACACTACAGAGAAAGAAAATTATAAGCCAATATGCCTTATAAACATAGATGTTTAAATCCTCAACAAAATATTAGCAAACCAGATTCTGCAGTATATTAATAAGATCATAAATCATAATCAAGGATTTATCCTGGGGATACAAGGTTGTTGCAATATTTGCAAATCAATAAATGTGATATATTACATAAACAGAATGAAAGCTAAAAATCACATGTTCATATTGACAGATGCAGAAAAAGCATTTAATAAAATATAGCACCCATTTATGATTAAAAAAACCCCTGCAAAGTGGGAATAGAGGTATCATACCTCAACATGATACAGGCTGTATATGAAAAACCTATAGCCAGCTTCATACTCACTGGGCAAAAACAAGTGTTTCCCTTAAGATCAGGAACAACACAAGGATGTCTGCTTTCACTACTTTTATTCAACACAGTACTGAAAGTCCTAGCCATAGCAGCCAGACAAGAGGAAGGAATAAAAGGCATCCAAATTGGAAAGGAGGAAGTAAAACTAATTGTTTGCAGATGACATGATATTATATGTAGAAAACCC